TGTCAGTTCTGAATGGAAAGATAATAATATGCTTAGAAAAGTACTTGTCACCCGATAATGCCTGAGAAAGTTGCCATGAGGATTGTATAGGGTTTTGTAAAATTTGACATGCCTTTGAAAATTCTCTGACACATTTAGACTTTGTGATACAAACACATGGAGATGTTCATCTGGAAGGCTTTCTGGGGTATGAAGAGAGCAGTGTGGTTAACTGGTATACCCTTTCACTACAGTCATTCTCAAGTAGTTTGCATTGGAAGTGGGTGTATTTTTCCTTCTTCCTTTCCTCTCGTTAATCAAAACATCGTGAGGAAGCTGACTTTACAGAGCTGTGTCTTTACAGAGCTGATCAGCCTTCATCCATGGCAAAATATGATGGGATGCCTCAACATGACAAAGTTGTTCTTCCCTAGCCACGGGACGTTTTTCTTAGCAGAATTTTAGACAATAATAGGAATATATTAAGCTAATTTTCACTGAGCTCTCCGAGATTCCTACCTTCAGGATTTGATCCCCACAGGGGCAGTATTTTCAGCAGAATTTGTTAGAATTGCTACACCAGTGGGAACAGCTAGGACTTCATACCCACCTAGCCCAGACCTTCCCATCTTAACATCAGCTGCAAGGAAACTTCTTGAAAGAGTTCAGAGGAGCCAAGTATTCATCATCCTAGATTTGTAAGATTAACAGCTGAGGCAAAGTGGAATATGTCACGCTCATGTTTTGTATATTTTCCAATATCCAGATGTTTGTCACTATGAATATGAAAAACACTGACTGACTGGTAATGTTAGCCTCTGAGTGGTATTTGGTGTGGTGCTAACACAGCTTGTGCTGATGAGTGTATTTTGGGGGCTTCTTTCTTTATCTCTCTACAAAGCCAGTAGTCTAGCACATTTTCTTTTAAATGAAAAAAAGACTTTTTTTTCTAGAAAGACATATTATACTTAATAAAATACATGTTCAGTCCAGAATATTTTATTTGGAATATTTGTCTATTCTTCAAAGGGATCCTGAGAGTACAATCCAGAGATGTAAAACCATGAGGTTTTAGTGAGAGAATAGGTATCACTTACTCTGGTTACTGCACTTAGCATTCACACTTGGTCAGAGAATAGGTGTTACATCACCCTGTTACTACGCCAACATCCTCACATTACCAGTCCCTTCCTTTATCTGCATATCCCTGCAGAATGAACCAGAATGGTCCACAATGCCACAGGCTATAACACTGTGACTCATGGATCATTTGTTCAGGTCTCAAGCTGTCTGTCTCTTTCTCTCCACATCTGTGAAGGAAAGTAGCACTTGACTCACTTATCTGATGATATAAAGTGTCTGAAACATTCCACACAGCATCCCTTGGCGTGGAAAGCTCCTCAAGTCAAATGGTACTGTTGTGATTTACTTCAGATCCTTCAGTGTGTGATCAGCTTAGACAAGTGGTTCTCAACCTATGGGTTGTGACCCCTTTTTGGGGTCGTGTATCAGATATTTACAGTATAGTTCATAACAGTAGCAAAACTACAGTTATGAAGTAGCAACAAAGTAATTTTGTGGTTGGGGTCATCACAATATGAGGAACTATATTTAAGGATCGTAGCATTAGGAAGGTTAAGAGCCAATGGCTTAGACATTCCCCTGCTTTTTCCTCATGACTGACTATCACTTCACACCTCTTTCTATTTTGTCAAGTAAACTACATGTCCAATGAAGATTCTGGAATAAGTGGTACATGATGTAGCCAATATGTACCTTAAGTAATTTAGTGATAACACTAGTAAAATATGGAACTAGTAACGGAGAATGCTAGGGGAAAAGACTTCCTGTGACATAAATAACTTTTGCCATCTCCCTGAGCTGGCTCCTGACCGGCTGAGAACAGCCACAGAGGAACAATCAGCACAGCAGGCAAGGTCAGAAATACCTCAATACTCAGGATGAGTTAGAGACCACTGGGAATCATGGCTTTCTTTAGAGAAACAAGAGGTCTTGACTTGACCTGATTTAAATGTTAGAGGTTCCCCTTGTCTTGTCTGCAGAAGGAATCTGGCTGCAGGTGTTGTGGACAAGTACACACAGTCAGAATATTTCCCACTTCCTTTTCTGGGAAACTGGGGATGGGCTATGCCATTTGCATTGTAAATCCTATATAGAACAGGTTTTATGGAGCTTTTTACTTGTTGACCCTAGGAGTCATAAAAAAAAAGGTTTTGCTTACTGAAGGTCAGAAGAGTAAGTATGTATCATAGTCTCTAAGCTGGCTCTCACTCTCATTCCACCATACCTGGTGTGCTTCCACTCCTTAGTGAATTCCTAACACATCAGCTAACTCCGTATGTTGTAAAGGAAAATGTTTTCATGGAAGGACAGCACAGGGAAGAATGACCAGGAAAACCAGAAACTATCGTTACTCTCAAAGACTCTATATACTAATGCTAAATAAAATAAAACACACACACACAGTGTGAGTGTGCACTTGGCCTATTTAACGCATTTTGCACAGTCATTGCCTTAACTTTAAAGCTATATGCATTCATTGTCCACATGCTATGACTTTAGAAACCCTCATGACATGTCTAAGCCTGATTACCAGTCCATTTGTAAAATTCCATATACGGTAGTTTTAGTTGCTGCAGTCTGTTAGTTGTTATCGAGAAGAAAAGTTTTGGAATGCAAGGAACTGTTCAAAAGTCATATATTTGTCTGACTCTCGTTTTCCTGAACTTGTGTCCTGAAGTGTTTTGGTTTAGAGCCAGTGACAGCAATGGACTGTTGTTCTCCCAGCCAAGGACTCACAACAGAATATATTTCTCTGTTTTCCTTGGCAAAGGTCCGTCTGTTTCTTCATGGTGGCCTCTGCTACACCAGAACAACAGATGAAGTTTAGGGCTGGATGTGCCAGCTACTCCAGGAAGTCCTCTTGATCTCAGTCAGAGGCAAGGAATGCTTTGCCTGTCTCTAGAGAAAGGGAGCTGCCCAGCAGAGTCTCCAAATCAGACTTCCATGGCAAAATACCCATTCCTAATTAATTTTCTGCTTTCTTTAGAATAAACAGGTTAAGCAATCGGTTACATTCAGTAAATAAGAAATTACTCGCAGTAACATCTGCAACATTCTAATCATCTTTTCACTTCTGAAACCATCTTGAAAAGTCTTTGATCTATGTTGCATCATCAGATATGGATTTTTTTTAAAAAATGTCCTGATTGCAAATGCAGTTCTGCCACCCACCCACCAATGGAGTGTCTTGGAGAAGTCATTTAACCTACACATCTTGATTTATTTTCTAGGGATAAAGAGTATAGCAAGCTTAAGCCTACAGGGCCATGTTAAGCACCCTACTATGTAAATGTCAGAAATACAGAGGTCACACAAAGATCACTGGTAGAGCCACATTCTAAATGTAGAGAGTTCAACATGACACCAGCATGGATATGATCTTGTTTAATGAGAAAACTGTCACCTCTATCTTCTTTCTGTATATTATTAAGAATTAATAGCACACTGCAATTGTTGAGTTATAGCATTAAGGGGGTTTTATTTTCTTCATTGAATACATAAGGAAAAGCTTTTCAATTAAAACTGACCTTTACAACCCCGACTGCTTTGGATTCTGCAGATGGGGAAGCTGACTGCAAATTGGATTCTTCCTGAATCTTGTTCCTTGTTCACCCCCTGATTAGTTTCATAAACGTGGTAGTGGCTGCCAGTTGCCTTCAACTTGCAATTTTGTAGCAATCTCAGATTCTGTGTTCAATTCCCCCAAGGCGTTCTGTGGAAATGCTGTCAGACTGTTCAGATGTACGAGTTCTCCCTCTCTAGCCGTGCTTTGTACTCATTTAAGAAAACTAGCCTTTAATTTGTAACCAAACTTTTTTTTTTAAAAAAAAAAAAAAAAGGAACCTCGCATTTCAGGCCTCAGCAAAAATCACTGGCATGTGACCCTGGCCTTCTGCTCTGGCTTATCCTGCTGCTTCTATTGAACATAGGACTGTGTTTCTGAATTTTGTTCAGAATGACTTTGCATTTTTCTTCAGATTTCACCTTATGGTGCACTAACTCACCAAGCCTGCTGTCTTCGGTCTCCATCATCTGGTCGTTTGTCTCTCCTACAACATACATCTTGTTCATTTCTGACTCAGTATATCTGGCTCTCTAACCCTAAGACCCACAGAGCGGTATCTACAGTACCATGTCTTTACACCCCTCGGAACTTCTCAGATAGCTCATCTTCCAGGAAGCCTTGCCATATCCAGCCTCAACACCCTCTCTGGGCCTGAGAACCGTGGGTTTCTCATGCACCTGTGTCTGATTTCACTGATTCATCCTCTCCTCTGAACACTCACAACAGACTGCTTGTCTGTCTTTGTCACTAGACAGCAGCTTCTAAAGAACAAGAATCACGTACATCCCTAGCCATAAATAGGGGTGTTGTAGCAGTTTGTCAATAAATGGATGTCTCATAGGGAAAAAAATAAACCTAGTAGATACTTTATTGAAAAGACAGCACAACTCTGTCACTAAAGGTCTAATATCAGCCTTACACTGATGACAGCAGTGGTTTGGTAAAAAATGGCTTATACTTTGTAAATTTTAGGTCAACGTTCATTTTCACAAGCTTGATATTTGCTAGGTTTTCTTAGAATTATTAGCTATGTGGTGCTCTTATGCTTGACATAGCTGGTACATTTCATCCAGAGCTAGACCAGCTCAAAGATGACACTCTAAGACCTCTTCTACTTCCTAAAGTGTCAAAGAAATGTGATGATTTCATGTAGAAAAGCTTTATGTGGCCTTTATTTATATTTGGTAGACATTCTATAAGCAGAAAGAATGTGAAGAGAGTTGGGCTCTGAACAGAAGCACAGGCATACACACAGAACAACGATGCTGTTATTCATTCTCATTTTGATTAACAGTCTATCATTTTTCCTTTCCTTCCTCCTCCTCTCCCTCCTTCTCTCCCTACCTTCCTACATCCCTCCCTCAACGTCTAGGTGTTACTTGGAAGATGGAGCATCAAAGGGTGCCTGGCTCAACAGGTCAAGTATCATTTTTGCTGGAGCGGACAAGTGGTCAGTGGACCCTCGAGTTTCCATTTCTACATTGAATAAGAGAGACTACAGCCTCCAGATACAGAATGTCGATGTGACAGATGATGGCCCATACACCTGTTCGGTGCAGACCCAACACACACCGCGGACGATGCAGGTTCATCTCACTGTGCAAGGTGAGTGTTTCCTGACAGACTCCTTGAGAGGGAAGAGCTTGGAATGAAATACTGAGACAGTAAAAGACCCATGTTCCAGAAGGGCTACCTTGTGGAATTTCCATGTAAAATATTTAACATTGGTATTGAGTTGACTCAGAAACAGCTACCAGTATTCAAGAATGTGTTGTCATTATCCTGTGAATTATCTTCTAGGTTCCATTAAAGGGTAATGACGATTTAAATCCAGGAATCCCCACTTACAAGAACAGGCAAGGGCCATTAACACCACATTATGATTTTTTGTATATGATATATTTCGTATCTTCCCTTGAGTCATCTCTGAAATAAATCTTGGCGAATCCATAATTGATACATTAAAATAAGTACTTAAAAACCCAGAGCAGATATGTTGAAAAGTAAAACGGTTGTGAATTGTGAAGTGGTAACTCTGAAAGCCTCCTCCCCAACCTTCCTGCATATTTTTCTCTCCTCTCCCATTTGAGTGAAAATGCAAAGTGTAACCTTCTAGAATAACTCAAGTTAAGTATAAATACAGTGTAATTGGAAAGCTCTTCACAGTGCCTTATGTCTGACTGAGCTTCAGCAGATAACCATGCTAGTCAGCTAATAATCTGTAAAAACAGTTGTCCTCCTTTAATACTTAGCAGTAAGAGCCCCGGGTTCTGCCAAAGCAAGTGCCCTTCAAGAAAACAGATGATTTTAATCTGGGGAGGGTAAAAAAAATACATATTTTGTATCTTACATGATGCACTTGTCCTGTAAATTTATGTGTTGTCTGCATGAAAATGTTTTGCTCTCTGGATTTCAAAACAATGCTGTGGTAATCACTAGTAAAATTAATAACAAAATGGATGATGGCATGTCCCACCCTGGGGCTTGTTGCCTGGTAAAGTTGAATGAGAGACTTGGTGTTGCTGTCTTCACGAATCTCCCTCTGTAAGTCAAGGCTGGATCTGTATTTGGTTTATGGGTTAATGCCTCAACACAGTGTTTGACTATACCATTTGTAAATGACCTATATTCCCTCATATACCATAAGAATCTCAGTGCAAACAAAACTTTAATTGCTATTAAATATTTCAGTCATGATGAGGTTAAACTTCTTAGTTGTATAATTTGTTTTAAGGAGTCAGTTTATAATGGAAACCAAATCGCTAGATTGTAGATTGTTGTCTTCTGCAATGATACTGGTCTTCAAAGTCAGGTTTCCACAAAATTCTACCTGGTTTTGTGAGATGGGTGTCTTAGGTAGGTAGTCAGTGTTCTAGCAATTGCTTTACCACTGACATAGATCTACAGCGCAGAGTCCATCTTTTCATGGAGATTACACAAGGAATCTGGAGGGTAGGGTTTGGTCTGACTTCAAAGTGCATACGAAATTGCAAAGCGCAGACACATCTCATCTCTGGACCGTTTTTAATCTCTCCTCTTCCTTGGCTTTCTATCAGAATTTCCAGAGGAAAAAGTATGGCAAGCTCTTTTTTATTCTGAGAGGAAATATTTGGATGACAATATATGAACCAATCATGATATGACATTGACTTGTCCTTTGCAACCTGTAGGTTTCCATTGCTATATTTCTCAATACATCTCAGTGTATCCCAAATTCATTCTCTCTGCCCTGTGTCACAGCCATGTGTCTGAACTGGACAGTAGGATGCATGTCCTGTCCTAACACCTATTTATATCCACTGGTGTTTATTTTCAACATTTTACTGTAGAGGCTGTATTATACCGTTAAGTACTTTTAAAGTGGTTGTACTCCTTCTCAGATAGTGCTAGCTTCTGAAGGTCATTTGATGTTCATGAACCTCTGAGCAGTGAAGAACTTGCTTCCTGAATACTTGGTGGTATGTTTTGTTCCTTTAGAAATAGAAAAATCTATGCAACTGTTTTGAAAGTATGTCATGAGATCAAATTAAAAGCTAATAATTTTACAGTATTTATGAACATAATTACTTATTATAAGTTGATTGGCATGTGGAATATTTTCCAATTACATTAATAAAGCTCATGGAATACATTAACAGGCTTGTCAGTCAACTCAAGAACTAAATAAATTCCATAAATTGTTAATCCTACTTAAGTTACATTTCTTCTCAATGAGCAAAAGTAAGTGGATGTGCATAGATACTCTAGCTTATCTAAATAATTTAGAAGAATGTGCTCTTTTCCAAGTGATTTGCCAGTCCTTCACTCACCAAGATATACTAAGCAATTGCTGCAAGAATGCATGCATTGTGTATGTCACACATCTGTCATGCATCTGTCAACAAAGTTTGTTCTCATTGGGTAATCTTGTAGTTAGGGGACTTGGATTTTAAAACATTATGTTTGAAAGTAGATTAACAAAGAGAGGCCCTTATACACCAGACACCACATAGAGGACTTTGTTGGTGCAATTTATTGGTGCTGTTGATGCCTTTAAATTATTTATTTAAACAATTGAGCAATAAAGAAGAATGACAAATCAGCATATCTATATTCTAATCTGTAATTTACCCCAACAAAGTGATAATTGTCTTACTACTAATTTCTAACTTGAAAACCAACTCAAACCCTTGAGTTAAACTCAGGAAATTCAAAGTGTACTATGTCGTAGTTGATATTAATGTAGAAAACTTAGCAAATGTGTTTAATAAGGAAATTAATATTTTATTATTTATCTACAGTATAACACTGCTAAATTGAAATCTCTAACCATGTGGAGTTTCTAACTATGTGAAGCAATGCTAGCAAAGAATAAAAATATGTAGGGATGAAAGACTGGCTTCAAGTCAGAGGTCCCAGTGTTAATGCTAGATGATGGGAAATATGAAATCTAATTGATGCTCATTTGGAAATATAACTTCACATTTTCTACTTTGCATACTTCAAAATGCCTAAATGAAAGGGTGCCGAGTAAGACATAGGTACACAGGAAAGTGAAAATAGGCTCCCAGAGATGGTGGCTTTGTGTTCCCAAAAGAGTCTATGAGGAGAAATATCAGGAGCATATGGAACTAACAAGGAAAATGGGAAAACCCGGGGACCCTATAAGACACCCAAGCTAGTGCAACCTATTTAAGTGACTCATAGCCCTTAGACCTTCCTTATACAGAAGGGATAAAGTTGATATCTCCTCTTTCTTATTGTCATGCATTTCACTTCTTTGTGCAAAGCAATATCCAGTGTGAGCCCTGCCTGTGATCACTTCCTTCCCTGTGACAACATATCTGAAAGTACAACTCATATAGGCTCAGAGTTTCAAAGGTGTCATTCTAACACAATGGGAAAGATGTGATGTTTCAAGGCAAACCACATCATAGTAGTCAGGAAGCAGAGAAACAAAATAGGGATGGGACAAAGTAAAATTCACCACCTCAGAACATACTGGAAGACCCTAATTCCCCTAATCATATCCTACCTCCCATGTTCACAAAGCCCCAATAATGCAATTGTTTTTATCAAGCAATTTATTAGGTCAGTGTCCTTCTGAGATCATCTTCAAAGGAAGCAGCCTCAGAGATGCATCCACTCCAGTGTGCAGACTACTCTGGGCATGATCAATCCAATTAAGTAGATAATGAGATGAAGTATCATAAGTCCATTCTGTCAACTTGAGACTCAAACACATCATTTTCAAATCAAAACATTCCACCTCTTACATCCCCATTCTGACTCGTATCTGCCTGTGAGACAAAGACCACACAGTACAACTAAGGATGCTAAAGTCTTAACAGTTCCAACATTTTTCTAATTGTTCAAAATTTGGAGTCTTTGGTGCCTAGTTTTATGTCAACTTGATATAAGATATAGTAGAGAGAAATAAACCTCAGTTGAGAAAATGCCTCCAGAAGATCAGTCTATAAGTAAGACTGTAGGGCATTTAATTAATTAATTAATTAATTAATTAATTAATTAATGGGTGAGGGTCCATACCACTGTGGTGGAGACACCCCTGGGCTGGTGGTCGGAGGTGCTGTAAGAAATGTGAGCAAGCCACAATGAGCAAGCCAGTAAGCAGAATTCCCTCATAGTTTCTGCATCAGCTTCTGCCTCTCTGTTCCCGCCCCCTCTTCTTCCAATGATATATTGTGATGTGGAACTGTAAGAAAAATAAACCCTTTTCTCTCCAACTTGCTTTTGGTCATGGTGTTTCAACATCGCAATAATAATCCTAATTAAGACAGAATCCAAAGTCTTCTGTGATACTTAAGGAAAATTCTAAGGTGTGAATCCTTATAAAATACAATGCAATTGTATGCTTGTCACAGAGTAGGTATTTCGATTTCAAATGGGATAAGCAGGAGAACAACAAAGAAGGATTAGTTCAAAGTTAGATTTGGACCCAACAGAGCAAGCACTAGCCCTTTTAACTTTATAGCTAATATCTGATGTACACATGATGTCATTATATGAGGCCCAGTGGTCACAGACAGCTCTTGCTCAGAGTCATTGAGTTGTAGAATATGTGGCCTCTCTTCTAACGTTGCATTTGTGTCCTATGGTCATCTTTAGAAGGCATTGCATTTTCAGTATCTCTAATTTCCTGAAGTCACCACAGCCATTTATGATTCATCTTGCTTTTATATACATATCTATATTAAAGGCCATCTAAGTGGGTATAAGTCCTGTCATACATAGATTAGGCACCCAGATCTTGCATTGGAATCTGTGTGAAAGCCTCTACAGCTCTGGCATGTTTCACATTTGCAAAGCCAACATAATGGAGTTAAAGTCAAATGATTTGCCAGTGTGAACATCACCCTAGTCCCAATTGTTTTAAAGCTACATCTGTTTCTGAATACCTGAGTGTTGAACATAGAATATTCATTGAAAAGCAGCCTCTTATCAGGAAGGGACTCCAGACAAACTGTATACTCAAGGGAAAGACTATCACATGAACTGACAACTTTGCACCCTGCAGCCTGTAATAGATAGAGTCTGGCCAGGTCTGAGTCATCTTTGTTGTACTCCCAAGAAAAGGACATGGTTCTCCTTGGTGGAACTGATCT